ATCAATAATGTAGACCTCCTCCTTTTCAGAAGAATTAACCGGTCTTTTGGATGATGAAGGAATGCACATCATCTCTACTTCCTTCCCTTTATTTATTATTTGCAGATTGCTGACCTGTTGTAATTTTAATCCCAGCTTCCTTGTCTGTAATAGTTTGTGTTGATATAGCTTTAGGAGCCCATTTTTCAATAACAGCAACTGGCCCTCCTTGGCCTCCAATACCAGACCGTTTAGGACAAGCAACCTCAGAATGACCCAAGTGAAAGCATCTTCCACAATAGAAGGGTCTATTCTCATACCCAACTGCCTGAGTGAAACCAGACGATCCACATTGGATCCATAATTTTTTAGGCATCTCTTTAGATAAATCCACTTCCACAAAGACACGAGCAACAGATGGCTTAGACAAGGATGCAGTAGCTGCATCCAACTTCAAAGGTCGACCAATCAGACCAGCAATATCAAATAAAGCATGCTTATCATGTAAATGAATAGGTAAATTTTCAAAATTTAACCAAATGAGAACAATAGGAGATTCCACATTTGATTTAAAATCAGGGGTCTATTTAGTAACACGCATGACATTCCCAAATATATCCCATGTTTGATGATTCCAGCAACGAATGTAATCTTCTTCTAAGTCAAACCGTATTAAAATATGCTTTCGTTCCAGAATACCTAGAGAAAAAGCACCTTTAAACCCGATCAAGTCAAATGCCTTACGGAGAGAAGCCATTGGTGGCCTACCATTGAAAAAATAGCCAACTAAGGCACGTTTATGCTTCGCAGCCAACAAATTGATCTCCTCTTCCGGAAACGTAATGGATGGCATCCTTTTGTAAAGGGATGAGATCTTCGAAGATAATGGTGGATCAGAAGATTCAACCAAAACCGAAGCAAAAGATTTAGCCCCCCACACCTTCGCCTGAGGCGGAGGGGGAGGCGCCGCCCCCTCCGCAGCCTTCTTAGCGTTCATCAAACTACGAGCTTTGAAATCGCCAGAGCTTATTCGTGAATCCAATCTTATGAAACTTTTCCTAATTATTGCTTTCAATTCATTATATATATATATATATATATATTATTGTTTGTCTGTAGAGTCAAAATGATAATTGTGTGTTGAAGTGAACATGCATACTTTCTAAAATAACAGATGAAGAGGAAGACAGATTTGTATTAAAGTCCCCGTTGTTGGTATGGAGTTCCCCAGTAAAGATGCAGTGTATGCAGTGTATGATTTCTACAAGGACTACAGGAGAAGAGTAGGGTTTCCTGTTAGAACACGAAATTCTTGGAAAGACGCGGAAGGAAGGACATATGCAATTGCATTAGAGTGCGCGCGTGCTGGAAATAGACAAAGCGGGGCACAAAATGTTTTAAAGCCTCAACCTTCAATGGAAGTTGGTTGCTTGGCAAAATAAGGGCACATATAAATTATGCCGGAACTTGGGTCATTTCAAAGGCTTCCTTAAATCATACTCAATGATGTCGCGGGTATACCACTTCATAAGAGTTTCAACTTTGCGGTTGTAGAAGTCGATGGATATGATCAACTTCGATTCATTGAAAAGGATTGTAGGAAGTATATAGATAAAGTGCGTCAACTTAGGTTGGGAAGTGGTGATGCGGTGACATTACAAGATTTTTTTGTAGAATGCAAGCACAATGCACTGGGTACGGTTCTTCTTTATGCTTGATTTGGATGAAGAGCACGCTTAAGGAATGTTTTTTGGGCGGACAATCGATGTCGATATGCTTACAAAGATTTTGGTGATGTCATTACTTTTGACACAACATATCTTACAAATCAATATGACATGCCGTTTGCGCCATTTGTAGGAGTGAATCACCATGGTCAATCAATCTTGCTTGGTTGTGCGGTCTCATCTTGAGTGAAGATACTAACACGTTTGTGTGGCTTTTTAGAGATTGGCTTGAGTGTATGGATGGGTGTGCCCTGAACAGAATTATTACCAACCAGGATCGCGTTATGCAAAACGCCATCCAAATAGTGTTACCGAATACGTGACATCGATGGTGTTTATGGCACATCATGAAGAAGCTACCGGAGAAGTTGGGAGGGTTTACCCATAAAGATAAAATTTACGAACGGTATACATGATGTAGTGTATGACTACCAATTTCCTGTTGAGTTTGAAGTTGGTTGGAAATCTCATTTGGAAAGGTGGTAGACAATTGTGTTGTAATATATTATTTATTCCCAGACAAAAAGTTGTCTGTGCCAGACATTTGTAGTCTGGGCCAATGTACTAGTTTCTGTCTTACAGACAGACAAAAGTTGTCTGTGCCAGACACTGGTAGTCTGGGCCAGTAGGCTTGTGTATGCCAAACAGATAAATAAAATATGTTTGGACCAGACATTTCTTGTATGGGCCACTGCAGTTGTTTCTGCCAAACTGATAGACAAAAGGTTCTCTGCCACACAACTTGTCTTTGCCTCACACACACATGTTGTGTGTACCAGACATTTGGTTCTGACTACGTGTTGTGTATTAATCGTGTGTATTCACTTGAAGATGACGAATGACTCAGGGTCATGTACGATGAACGCCATAAGTGGGTACCTTGTTACTTGAAACCTACATTCTACGCGGGTATGTCCACAACTCAATGAAGTGAGAGCATGAACGCTTTCTTCGATGCTTTTGTGCATTCCAAAAAGTCTAAAACAATATGTGGAGCAATATGGTCGTGCCTTAAAATGTAAGGCAGAAAAAGAGTTCCATGCGGACACAAGTTCATTTACAAAAATGATACCATGTGTGACTTCATTTGCAATGGAGAAACAAATGCAAGGAATATACACACTAACGAAGTTCAAGGAGTTTCAAGATGAAATGGTTAGCAAACTTTATTGTGACATCATTCAATGCAATGAAGGTAAAGTGTATCATATCAAAGAAGAAGAAAAAATTACAGAGGACTTTTAGAAGAGTATTTACTTCATAGTGGAATATGACTCCGGCTTGTGCGCATGCAAATGTAGTTGTCATTTGTTTGAATTTAGAGGCATAGTCTGTAGACATATGTTAGTGGTTCTACAGCGCAATGAGGTCAAAATGTTGCCCGTCTTCAGGTTGCTCCCGAACTAGCCTCAACAGAAGAGAATGAATTATTTGACCAGAAAACTGTATCTATGGCACATAAATAAGGTGGCCCCATGGCGTCTTCTTAAACTCCTCCAACTGCTTCTTCATCAACGCAGACTGCACCAAGCTTCCAACCTCTTTGAAAAATGAGCAAACGGAATACTAGGCTCGAAATTGCTTGGACACATGAATTTGTAGTTCAAATGCTCTGTATAATTTCAACAAATACATATCACATATCAGCCAAATCAGTGACATTACAAAGACCCATTTCACATTACAGACGACTTAGAAGGAAGGCCAGACATTTTATATCACATGACAGACAAGTACACAACAATTTTAAACAACTCCATATTATGTGAACAATTTATTGCAATACATTGGTAGAGAAGTCAATTCATATGATAGAAAACTACAACCCAATTTTAAAGAAATCAAAATGACGTGCAAGACCATTCAAATGGGTTGCCAGACAACTAATTTCACATGACATACAACTACAAAACTAGTTTCAACAATTCAAAATAAAGTGACAAACAACTCAAATGCAAGTTATTTCACATGACATACAACTACAACCCAAGTTAAGCAATTGAAATTGACGTGCCAAACAACTCATATGGTTTGCCAGACAACTACTTTCACATGACAGTTAACTACAAACCTAGTTTCAACAAGTCAACATAAAGTGACAGACAACTCAAACGGGTTGGCAAACAAGTTATTTCACATGGCAGACAACTACAAACCAACTTTAAACAATTGAAGTTGACGTGCCAAGCAACTAATATGACTTGCCAGATAACTACTTTCACATGACAAACAACTACAAACCTAGTTTCAACAATTCAAAATGAAGTGCTACACAACTCAAATGGCTTGCCAGACATTTTTAATCACATGACAGTCAACTCACATGTACAAAAATAGTTCACAAGCATGACAGATAACTTCAAACCACACACAACCAACTACTAACCCATTACAAACAAAGCACAGACAACTTCAAACTACTCACAAACATGATGACAAACAACTCTAAAATTACAAAGGTTGTTCACACCAAGATAAAATCAATCCAACAAAAATAGAATAAAATCCATACCTTTCAGCCATTTCTGTGAAACTTTCACAACAAAGTGATTTTAAAGTGATTTGACAACCTTCAAGTGTTTACGCCTTATAAGAGGACTGGGGCGAACATGGGTGAGGCTAGAGTGCTCTGTGACGGCGTTTGTGAACATGTGTGTCGTTCGTCACTGCTAGCGACAGTTGTAGGGGAAGCAATCGTTGGTTCATGGGGGTGGGGACGAACACGTTTTTTGTGGCAGATGGGTTAGGGCCGGTTAATTCGACCGACTGTGGACATGTCGGGAACGTAGATGACAGCTTTGATGACGCCGGTGTTCGAGGGTGGGATGCGAGGACTATTAGAGCTCTAAGGTGACGGTGGTTTTGGGGGGGGGGGTGTGTTTCGAAACGTGCTAGGGAAGGGAAAGAGAAAATTAACCCATATATGACTAAAATTTAATGTGTTTCCCAAAATATGACTTCTATCTTTTTTCTTCCCAATATGATAGTGTTTCGTATGTATAAAACTAATATTTAATCATATTTTGGGAAGTACAGAAGTAGTAGTCATATATTCTGAAATTGACAATGTTTTAGTCATATATTAGTAAATATCCCGAAGGGAAAAGGTGGGAGGCGCGGGAGATTTGAAAAGAGAGGTGAGGGGGAAAGGTTGGTCACACTTGAGGAAGGTGAGGGAGTAAATTTTTGGGATGAATTTTATATGAGGTACAATTTTGAAGTACATTTTGGTACCTATAGCAAATTCAAAAGATTTATCTTTGGTACCAAAACAAAAAGCTAGAAAGCACCGGATAAATGTCCACGTGGCACCACAGTTTTCGAACATGTTCATCTGGGCCTTCCGTTCCCATCTTCAACACAAGCAAAGCAAACAGCCTAAGCAATCAAACCATTCATTCTCTTAATAATCCATGGCTTCAACAAACTACACATCTCTGTGTTCTTCTTCACTTGTACGAAGAATAATTTCCCCGAAGCAAAACCAGTTGCTTTGTTCTTCGTTCAATCTAAACCAATTCACGAATCACCCATTTATGAGTAGCAGTTTCTGCAATTCCCACCCTTTAAATACTCCATCTTTTGTGTTCATGGCCTCCCAAACAGAAATTGAAGGCAGCGGAGAGGAGAAATATGAAAAGTACGAGGTCGAAATAGTGAAGCCATATGGGCTGAAATTTGCCAAGGGGAGAGATGGCGGAACATACATTGATGCAGTTGAACCCGGAGGATCAGCTGATAAGACTGGAATGTTCACTGTTGGTGATAAAGTTATTGCCACCAGGTGTTTGTTAGAACTCCTCTTGTTTTTATGTGTTTCTTTCCCTGGTATTATTATACATAAATTACATATATTCCTCCTCGCTTCTTCTCATAAAATGGAATCGTCATTGATTAGTGGGGCCTGAACGAAATGAGACTGGTAGGATCAAACCGAGTTTTTAGTCGGGGGGGGGGGGGGGGGGGGGACTTCATTCCTTTTATTGATACTGCTCTTGATTTACGAGATGATTTAGCTCTGTTAGTTTAGTAGTTAGATGGGACATTTTGTTTTTGGGAGCTACATCTGTCTAGGGGTGCAATCGAGCCAATTGGGCATGCTCGACCTCTAGCTCAATAAAAATGCACCGGCTCAAGATCTAGACAGCCTAATAAATTCGTGCTGGGCTCGAGTTTAGCTCATTGACATTTATATGTTGGGCTCGAATGAGATCCATGCTTGAATGCTCAATTCGTTTCTGAATTCAAACTAAAAATAAATTTTCTATTTTTAGAACTATTAAATATTATATTCATACATATAAAAAAACAAATAATATATAATATTTCTACTTTATTGCTCATTTTATTAGTTTCTCTCTAATTCACTTGAATTCTACTTCCTATGTTACTACTAATTAAAATTTAAAATATACAAATATATATACGTATATAAATATATATAATATGTGTGTGTATTTATTTATTTATTTATTTATTTATTTGTGTGTATATATATATATATATATATATATATATATATATGTTATGGCTTGCGAGCCCACGAGATAAAAAGAAATTCAGCTCGAGTTCGGCTCGATTGCTTAACGAGCTGGTTCGTGTTCGGCTCGAGTTCAAGTTTGACCGCACTCGAGTCGAGCTTTGACCGAGCGGCTCACAAGTAGCTCAAGAGCGGCTTGACTCGTTTGCTCCCCTACATCTGTCCATGTGAGGTTCATATACATTGATGTTTTGTTTGGTAAAAGGAAGCTTCACTACATGCAGTAAAATAGTTTTAGATTTCTTGAAGAGTTATAGTTGCTAGTTCATGCTTTGTCTCTTGCCTGACAAATTTTATGGTTGCACATTGATCTTGGTTGTGGTTTTGATAGTCAGTTAGGATAACTTGTAAATACCACAACAGTTGTCTTGGATGAATCATCATCTTATTGAATTGGAAAAGAGTGTGATTAGAACAGTGGAAAACATGTCCAGTGCAGTGTTTGGAGATGACATATGGCCTTCTGCTGAATATGGAAGAACAATGTATACAATTCGGCAGAGATTAGGCCCTTTGTTCATGAAAATGGAGAAGAGATATGGTGAGTTAATTCTTCTGAATGATTTGCTGATTTAATTAGTTAATTGATTCTTACATTTAGTTGGTTGGAAAGAATGTGATGGTAGAAAACTAAATATGAATACACGATTCAACTAAAGGTGTAGCTATTATATTCTATGACTAACAAATAGAGTTAAATTAGTAAAACAAGAATCAGTCCTCCCTTCCCATCCTTTCCAAATTCCCGAACCAAACAAGTCCTATTAGGTTTCTTCTGTCTCTTATGCTTTTTCAGGGAAGATGGATAGTACGGGTGAGTTGTCAGAAAAGGAAATTATTAGACAGGAAAGGAATGCCGGTTTCATCAGTGATAGGGTGAGAGAGATTCAGGCAAGTACTTTACTTCAAGTGTACAACCTAAATAAAATCATCTAGAAGTTTTGTTGTTTTTCTTTCACTGGTTTCTCTGTATTGATTTTGAGTGGCATGTTTGATATCAGTTTACAAATGCAATGAGGAAAAAGGAACAGAAAGAGCGCAGAGGAATGGATCTTCGTGAAGGACTTCGTCTATACAAGTAAGTGCTGTTGTGATTGCCAATTTTTTATCCATTTTAAGTGCCACCTTGGGACAGGCAACCTTTGAAAATGAAGGTGCAAGTGTAATTTTATTTCATTTCAGCTGAAATGAAATTTAGTACTCCATAACTATTAAGCTGGTGTTTTGGTAGAAATCTGATTTTCTTCTACCAAACTAATATTTAGAGAATATTAGTAATATAGCGAATTTAGTCAGATAAAACCCCCAAATTTATCACAAATTACCGCACAATCCACCATTTGCAGGAGTGAAAAACAGCAACAATGAGAAATTAATCAAAATATATGAAGAGGACAAAGAAAGAAAGCTTATTGTAGGATCGTCTGTTTGACGGACTGACCTTGAAGAAAGAGAACCCTCATATTCTGCTCGCCACTTTAGACGGGACAGACCAACTTGTTCTCCGGTGCTTAATAAGTCTCTCCCAATTCAAAATTTATAAACATACGTTTGTGTTAAAGCATCTGTCCCACATCGGAAAGCTATAAAACAATCAAACACTATATAAGGCTTTGAGCTACTCCTCCTATTAGGTTACCTTTTAGGATGGAACTCCGAATCTTAACATGGTATCAGAGCCAATTCCGGTTGTGGTTTGACGGCTTGTTTAGCACCCATGATTAAGGGTAGCTTGTTAAGAGTTTGTTTGGCCCATTTATACATCCCGATATTGTCTACCCCGGGTTCGGGCTGAGGGGGCGTGTTGAAGCATTTGTCCCACACCAGAAAGCTATAAAACAATAAAACACTATATAAGGCTTTGAGCTACTCCTCTTATCAGGTTGACCTTTTAGGATGGAACTCCGAATCTTAACAGTTTGTATACTAGGACTCATAAACGGTACCCTCGAAGTAACATATTTCATCTCATTTTTTCAAGGGAAAATTATCAATTAGGCCCTCATACTATCACCAATCTTTTAATCAAGTCCTCACACTTGTAAATCACCCAATTAAGTCTACGTAGTTCTAAAAAGCACTCAAATCGTCGTTTTAGGTGGCCACCCGCCGGTAAACAAGTTAGTTGTTGATGTGGAAGCATACATGGATTTCTGTAACCCATGTGGACTGTCCATGTGGCATTTGCAAATTGCAATGGAGTCAAAGACTCACTATTTTTTTGTTTGGAAATATGATGGAATAAAGCAAAATGGTTCACTGAACTGTCTGCGTTATTTTATTATGAAGTAGCAGTCGGTTCATGCGATTTTCGGCGCGTTTTTCACTAGCAGTAGGTGGGAGCCTTTGCGGCACTGAGGTAATGATGATCTTTCTAGTCTTTACCCTTTTTCGTTTTATTTATTTATTTCCCCCTTTTTTGTCTGGTACGGCATCCAACTTCCATCGTCATTGTCGCTCTAAGCCTGTCCGCCGCCACTCGTCCCTTGGGTACTTCATCTGTTTCGCCGCATGGATATCTTTGCTGATATGCTCATCTGGTTCTCCTGGTTCAAGTCCGACCTCCTCCTTAAAGATTGTACTGTGAAGCTGTGTCCCGTCTTCTTCTTCTACTATCGAATTGGAGGGATGGTGGTGAAGAAATCTCCTTCCCCTCGTTTTCCTTTCAATCCAACTGAAAAAGGCGGTGCCGCTGAAGAAAGTTGGTTCCGGCTATGATGCAGGTGAAGCTTAGGGTTCTGCCATTTGGCCCATTTCTAAAGCAAAGCTCTAGGTAATTTTTGTTTTTGAGAAGAAAGCATAGCTCTAGGTAATTATGCATTTAGATTTCTGATTTTCGAAATAGTATATGTTTATGTTCAAAGAGAAAAAAACCGTGTTTCTGCTATGGTGGCCTGATCATTGTCGGGAACATGAACAGTGTGCATATCTATGTGCAGCTCTATGTTTGACCAGCCTCAAATGGTCAAAAAAAGAAAAAATTAAAGCCACACAAGTGTACAAGTCAGCAGCTACCGGGAAAACTGGCAAGAAACCAGCTAAAAAGAAAATTTGGGTGATTTTTTATAGTTCAGGGAGTTAATTGGGTGTTTTGATAGTACGAGGACTCAATTGACTTTTTCGCTATACTACAGGGGCCTATTTGACCGTTTACCCTATTTTCAACAATAGCATGGTGAAGTTTTTTGTAAAGATATACAAACTTACATTTCTATTTTACAATATGTAGCTAAGAATGCATAGAATTTCTAATTTTGCTTTAGGACACCCGGAAAGATTTCCAACTGTTTAGTGGTACTTTCACTACAAATGCATACAATTTTGTATTCTGTGATGTTTCGTTTTCTGAGATGTTGGACATCTGATGTTCCTACTTTCTTTTCCGTCCCTTGTTTTGCTGAAGGAGTGGCGAATATGAAGAAGCATTAGAGACATTTGAGTCTGTATTAGGATCAAGACCAGATCCAAATGAAGCTGCAGTAGCAAGTTATAATGTTGCATGTTGTTATTCTAAGCTTAATCAGGTACTTTTCATAAACTAAATAAATATCTAGTTTAGTGTTATTTACTTGTAATGGTATGCTCTGTAGTTCATAAATACTTCCCGTCCTAAAGAGTCATCTTTAAAAAATGTCCCAAAAAAAGAGCGGTTTCAAAAGTCAGCTTTCATTTTTAAATAAAATTTACATTTAGTGGCAAGTGGGTTTAGAGCCCATTTCGTAACATTGAAATTTGGGCTGATTGTGCTGAAAATGTTTAAGTTCTGGCTGAATTCTCTGTATCTGTTGAGATATGAAAAAAATATGAATAATATTTTCTTTTAATAAAATAATGAAAAAATTATACTCCGTATGAAAAAGTAACGGAAATGATCCTCTATAGTAACTTTAGTCAATTCAGCCAGAAAAGTAACTCCAACCTTACTTATTTTGATTGTTACACCTTTCAAAGCTCGAATTCAGAAGTTACGTGTTTGGTGAAAAAATTGGTTGAGAAGCCGAGAACATGGGTCATCAAACCGGCTCTTAGTCAATTTCCCCACACAAGCTTGTACCGTGACTGGGTTCACAAAAAAAAAAGTTATACATTGCCCGAACATGACTCATTTTTTTTGGGATGGGGGATTTATATTAAAAAGGGCTATGATATTTGTATGCCCTTAACACCCACCTTCACGCATATATAATTCCCGCTATGATTCTTTATTCTCACATACACAAATCTGTGTGAGTACGGGTAAACTTTTTTCTAAGAACAGAACATCTTGTCAGTATGAATGGTAGTGTAAAAGGGGTACAACTCTGAAACAACTTTTTTCTATATTATAGTCCAGCTATTCTACTACTCCCCTCGTTCCAGCTGGTTCTCACTAAGGCTGGAAACAGGCTAGGCCAAGCTTTTGCTTAAATAGGTTGGGCCTGTCTGGGCTGAAGCCTGTTTCATAGGCTTGTTAGGGAAAAATGTCCACAATTTTAAAATTAAAAAAGCTGCAAATTCTTTTAACTCGATATAAAATTTATCCCCCAAAGTAGTCACTAAAAAACCTATTACGGAGTAATACATTAGTTTTTTTTAATGTCTAATAATACGTTAGTTATGTAACTTAGTAAGTTAGTTATGTAACTTAGTAAGTAGCACGAAAACGGGAAACTGGAAACGTCGGAAACGCCATTTACCAAAAAAGGACACGAAACGCGGGGGAAACGCGCAAATATTAAAAATATAGAGGTTAATTTATAAATATTATATATATATATATTTGTGAATTTATATATATATATATACTACGTATATATTTACACACACATATATATTAAAAAAGCTGCCAGAAGGATTAAGTTTGCCAATTGCCACTGCCCACTAAGCGTGCGTTTCATTTTACAAACGAAGGATGGGGAGGATGAATAACCAGTGCTCTGAAATCACTCACATCACATATACCTGAACGGAAGCCGACGAGCCGACGATGACCTGCGAAGAGTGAAGAGGCGACGCCCGTCGATGACCTGTGAAGCCCAAATACAGCGGACGACCTTTGCCCTTTGGAGAAGCCGGTGAACTCTGCGGACGAAAGGAAGACTGCGTAGGCCTTAGGTTTGAAGAACGAAGAGCGGACGATGAAAGGTTTGATTTTTCTGTTTGAGCAGGCCCTAAAATTTATCGGATCTGTGTTTAAATTTTTGGAAACGCTTTTCCAAAAAATTAAAAAATTGGGAAACAGCCCCATTCGCGTATCACCCGTTTCCTGCGCTCGGAAACGTTCGAACGTTTCCGGAACGGGGAAACTCCCCATCCCCGGAGTTTCCGTGCGTTTCAGGTAACTTATAAATTTTTAGGGACTTCAAATCTTAAAAAACTTTGATTTCAATGACCCTAATAAAACATTTTATATATTTAAAATAGTATTCAAATTTATAAAACAAACTCTGTAAAATCACTTTTACGCCTAATTGCTATAGTAAAATATACATATAAATATACATATAAATGTAAATATAAATATAAATATAAATATAAATATGAATATAAACATAAACATAAACACAAATAAAAATAGCGGTACAAGTACAAGTACAAATAAAAATATAAAAATATACATAGTATATATGGACACATACAAATAAGCCGGCCTGTTAAGCTAAGAAGACTTCGGAGTTTGGTTAAGCCTGACCTATTTAAATAAAGAGGCTTTTCTAAAAGCCCAGTTTGTTTATTAAAAAGTTAAGCCGTAGGCCCTTGATAGGCTGCTTGGCCTATTCCCACCCCTAGTTCTCATACCTACGGTGGGGGTAAGGGGGTCGGATGTACGCAACCTTGCACCTGTACTAAAGCACAAATGTCGTTTCCGGATGGCCCATAGTCTAAGCCAAAAACCGTATATTAACTAAAAACACAAATTTTGAGATGACAGATTACACATAAACATATATAAATACTGGGCACTCATTACAATAATCAAAAGTCCACTATAATCCAAAGTGGACTTGATTTTAAAGTCTTGATAATTAAAACACCAACATAATTAAAATGTCTGCACAATCTAAAGTCAACATACTGAAACATAATTAAAATGCAATATAATTTAAAGGTGTTCATCATCAAATTACATATCATCGTCCTCCGCATTTTTTGAGATATTATCAAACAAATCATCCATTCACACGACATTGGAGCCATTTGTGCTTGTCATCTGTGTTTGTCATTGTGCCTCATGTTGCTGCTACCACTCAATTTGGGCAGCTGCTTGTTGAGCAAAGTGGGCTGCAATGTCTTCTTGAATGTGGGCTTCGATGTCTTCTCAACCTGATTGAGGCGCCCCACTACAAGAACTGGCACTCCAAACTAAAAACGTCAAAATGATTGCACACAAAATAGTCAAACTAGCTCAATAAAAAGTCCAGACTGAAAATGACAGCCAAAGATAGTCATAAATGGTCCCAACATAGTCCAAAACTAAGTTAAACATTGTTAAAATCAGTCATAAAAATATTGGCAACAACATAGGCATTAAAAATTTCAAATCAGTTCAAAACTAAGTCAAACATGTTCAATATGGTCCGAAATCAGTCCTAAAGTTTTTTTTACGTTTAGAATCATGTATGCATTCAAAACATAGTATTTCATCGGAGAACCTGTTAGTAGCATGTAACATACTAAACTAGGTTTCTTATATCCTTTGAGAATGTCATCACAAAAATTAATGAAACCGTAGGATAGGATCTCTAATATATGGGGAGGAATGAATTCTATTTTTATTACCCACTTGTCATCCTTTTGGCTAAATTTCAAGAATAATTTCACGTATTAAACCTAGGACTATTTACACAATTTTTATTACGCAAGTCGGCAAGAGTACCGTGATAGGAACATAGACAATAATACTAATAAGAATATTAGAATAGTACTCCCTCCGTTCCTATTATATCTTCCATTTCACTTTGGCACACAATTTAAGAAAAGTGGGTATTGTGTGGTGGAGAGTTGTGCAGAGGAGAGAGAAATGTGTAAGAAATGTTGCCAACCACAAATTATTTACCGAAAAGGGAAAGTAGAAGTTTAATTGGAACGGATGAATAAGGAAAGTTGGAAGATATAATAGGAACGGAGGGAGTATTAAAGAGTGTAATAGTGCATAAGTGAAGATTCTGGGCCATTTAGTAAATCAGGAATAATGGGCCTATTATTGTAGATAGTAATAAGTGGGCTTGTACTATAAATAGAAAGGGAGGGTAGGCAAATGAAGCAGGCAAGTATTCTGTTGGAATAGGCTTGGAGACTGGGGCACTGGGCATCTCGAATTGTCCTGAACTTTGTATAAGTTCGATATTTTCTTCTTCTTCTTCAGTAAATCTCATATTGATCTTATTCCCTGTTAATCTCTCTTTGAATCTACTGTAATTGGAGTCGGATATACCGGTGTTCTATCATTGGTATCAGAGCATAATATGAATTCGCTGGAGAATATGATGGATTCATGGGAGAGGCATCAGACATCGACGAAGAAGAACTTAACAGACCTGAAAACAATGGCAGAAAACCTTGACAGAAAGCTATCTGCGATGGAAGAACTCTTCCAGACTAGACGACGATCGCGGTTGCCAAGGACGTCCTTTAGTTCGCAGATGCAAACTAATTCTTCCAGATTTTTCTTCTCAATCACGAGAAATTTCTTCCAGTTCACGTAAGACACAATCGAGGTGTAAAACTTCCAGTTCACAATCGCGAACTTCTTCGCAATCGCAATCCCGAACAGTGTCTACCAGTTCTCAGGTCTCCGTTCGTAGAGCTCAATACGCGAGAGTCGAGTCCACTGTTCCGCAGGATTCACCGCAAGTTGATTCTTCTCAGCATACGCAAAATCGCGATAGCAGTAAAAGACCTATTCTGACGGGACGAAAGGTAGATTTACACGCAGTCGGAAACACACAGAAGTCTTCGCCTACAACGTCTTCCAGTTCTCACTCGCGAGAAAACCCTTCCACTTCTCTGGTTTCGTCAAGAACTGTTTTTCATCAGCAATCGTCATTGCAAGCCGTTTCTCTCAGTCGTCCGCCGGTGTCCTCGCAGTCAGCATCGTTTGTCGTTTCTCTTACTTCAAAGGGACATTCTTATGCGAGCTATTCACAGCAGAATGTAAAGCAATCGAGAGAGGAATACTCATGTTCGCAAGTGCTACCGCCATCCGTTTCTCAACCTGCACAAGACTATCCCCGGTTGACAAAGAATACCCAGTTGAAGTCCGCTGATCATGTAATCAAGAAACTGACGGAAGACAAAAACGAGGAGCAATCTACAGTAGCTGGAGGACCTGAAGCTGGTACAGTTGCTGGATTCCTCAATCGTTCACAGATATCATCTACTTCAGGAGCCATAAATTTAGTTGAATCAAGAATGGGATTGCAGGGCACTCCATTGTTGGCAAAGAACATTGAGTTGAAGTTAGCTGCATCTTCAGGTTTGGAACTGGATACGACTTATGGTATTAAGCAATCTATGGAACATGCACAAGAATATCTGGAAGGTATGGATAATGTGGATTCAGATTCTAACTCATCTCCAAAAGATGCTTTGATGGAAGGAGTAATTCTTACTAGTGGAATAGAAAAATGGACATACCAACAAAAGAAGATAGATGACAGTGGAAGGTGTAGTCTTGAGGTTTCACCTAGTGAGAACAGTTTATATGCAATTGCAGCAAGCACTAAGAATTTTCCGGACTTTAAATTCTTACCTCTTCATGTTGATATTGCAATTAGAAATTCCCTTTTAAGGACTGCAAGTAATCAGGTGCAAGTGAGTATAATTGGGACTGTTGTATGCAACGATAAGTGTGGTTCATCTGTTGCTTTTGCTATTGTACTTCGGGATGGAAAAAGTCCAAGTACACTTAATTCACCTACCAACTCGTGGGTTGGCACTTTGACAGGAGGCATGAACTGAACTTTCATAAATCAGCTGAAGCTACTACAAGGGAAGCTGGATTTTATATTGCAGAACCTTTATATGATGATATTGATTACAATGAAGAGGCTTCAAGGTTTGGTTATCATATAAAACATGTAGGACCTCATTCAATTTCCTGTCAGAAGCTTGGTCAAAGTGGAGATGGGGATAGGAACACTGCAGAAAGGGGTGAAAGAAGTATTATCTTTGACAACATAATTCCAGGGAGTTTTCATGTCCAGTTTCTGCTCCTGTTTGCTGTGAAAGAAGTGACGATGAAAGGTTAAGTAATGAAGGTCATGACCAAGCAATCTGGGATGTGTTGGGAAGGAAGAGGTGCAAGAATGAAGTGGAAGTGGAAAATTATGGCTGTTTCCTATCACCCACCTTGAGGACAAGGTGGTTGTTTAGGGGGGGAGTATTGATAGGAACATAGACAATAATACTAATAAGAATACTAAAATAGTATTAAAGAGTGTAATAGTGTATAAGTGAAGATTCTGGGCCATTTAGTAAATCAGGAATAATGGGCCTATTATTGTAGATAGTAATAAGTGGGCTTGTACTATAAATAGAAAGGGAGGGTAGGCAAATGAAGCAGGCAAGTATTCTGTTGGAATAGGCTTGGAGACTAGGCATCTCGAATTGTCCTGAACTTTGTATAAGTTCGATATTTTCTTCTTCTTCTTCTTCAATAAATCTCATATTAATCTTATTCCCTGTTAATCTCTCTTTGAATCTACTGTAATTGGAGTCGGATATACCAGTGTTCTATCATACCGTAAGAAAGTCATATCGCTATGGATCCTGTGAATGTTTCTATCGTTTCTGGCATGATTCAGAATTTATTGATGTCTGGAAAACTATGGAAATTAAGATCAATAAAATCTTGAGCCATTTGTGTAATAGATATATGAAATTACTTAAATAACCCTAGGTCTAATACGTTGAAATGCAATCTGGCAAAGTGACTTGAAAATTAGCGGCATAGACCGCTGGTGGATAAAATGTCAAGTACTTGGTATGAGCAAACTCGAATGCGAGAATGATATAATACTTGTATACTAAATATATAATTTTTCCTTTTCAAAATTCTTGCTTACAGTCTCATTTTGTAGAATAAAGTTTCTTTCCTTTGGAACTATCTAATACATTGTGTTACGAAACAGTCATCCAAACACTAAATGGAAAAACACCGTCTACAAACCACAACTCTTTCAAACCAAAGAGCATGTTTTGGAAATGCATCAATTTAAGCATTGTTTTTTCTCCAATTGCTAACCCAAAGAACCGATCTACCACAGCAATATTAGCCCGGCATGCTTTTGTGCAAAATATGAAGTTTGACATCATTTGTCTGGCTTTACAATAGATTGAAGCTGGATTGTTTGCCTTGGAGGATGCAATGAAAGCGGGATTTGAAGATTTCAAGGTAAACTCTAGCGGTTATCAAAATCCACTGTCAACTAGAATGTGAGTAGTAGTCTGTTGGAAAAGGTTGATTTTGGCTGATATTGAAATTGCTGAATTATGAAAAGTACTTCGTATATATTTAAAATATATGCTATTGATAAAATAAAGGAAAAAAGATGAAAAAGGCAAAATTGATCATCGTGAGCAACTTCGATGTTAGCATTATTAACCTATTCTGTGGTGTAAAATCAATCAAATTAGCGTTTGGTAATTGGTAAACACCTAGCTGTCAACTGGTAAAAATGATAAGCCGGAAAAAATGGCTATGAAGCGGCCACTAAATCTGATTCTAAATCATTTATTGTGCCCACAGAGAGTTAGAACAGATCCAGATCTTGCCAATCTCAGGACATCAGATAACTTTGAGTCCCTTCTTAAGAAATTCGATGAATCATTCATCAATGAAAGCGCAATCCATGCGCTTAAATCCCTGTTCGGGTTCAACAAAAAGTAGAACCAGCTGTTTGGATAGGGCTTCTGCTTACAGATATAGCTGAACATGTATATGAATCCTGCAAGAAAATTGTTGTTATTTTGCAATTCTGTCCTGCAACTGTACTTGATTAAATTTCATGTACTTGTATTAGATGGTCTGAAAGAAATTATGGAGTTATAAATTATCAACACGGATCTCTCATTGTTCTTTACTTGTAGGCTGTAGCATGTCACCCTAGCGAAGCATGTAGTTTTTTAATGCTTCATTGTATATTATTCTATCCGTTCTTAAACCGTTATTGCTGCTTATTTCAAAAAAAAAAAACGTCATTGCTGTTTGAGTTTTTTTCTGTTTGCTTTTAGAATGTTTCGAGAAATAATTACATAAATATGAGCAAAATAAAGATGATTTACAAAAATATGACTAATGACTAGAGTAGTAATGAAATCATAGTAATTCATGTTCAAATTTTGAACTTAAGTTACCACAACACCACTAGGGTTGGACTCGGGTCGGGCCACCCGGCCCGCTACTGTGCGGGACCGGGACCGGCCCGGTTCTCGGGTCCGGTTCCAGGTCGGGCCTAGGCTCGGTGGGTAGTGCGGGTCCGGGCTCGGGTCTCACTTTTGGCGAACCGGCCCGGCCGGTTCGGGCCCGGGTCCGGGCCAAATTGATTTTTTTTTTTTCATTTTTTGGGGTTCCACCCAGGTTGGGGTTGATGGTTAGGAGGGGTTTGGGGGGGTTTGGGAGGGTGGGGGTGAGGGGGGGTTAGGAAAGCAAAAAAAAAAACCAAACCGGAGGCCCGGCCCGACCTGGCCTGGACCCGGTGGCTACCCGGGTCGGTCCCGGGTCCACCATTCCAGAACCGCCGGCCCGCCCGGACCTAGGCCCGATTCAGACCCGATCCGGACCCGAGTCCACCCCTAAACACCACATCGTAGTAATGAATAGTCATATTTATGTAAATATGTTTTATTTTAGTAATATTCTAGTAAAAAGCTCATTCTCCAAAAATTATCAACCATTCACATAATTACCGGATTTACCGGCTTTCCGCATAGTCGAAATACTCACAAAATCTCATAAAGAATCCAAAATCATATATCAAACTCTAATTAAATCATAATTGGGGCAAAATAGCAATTTTAATTGACATTGGTTCTTACCTGAAGTCTAGCAACGAATTTAAAGAGGAATCGAAGAAAACATATGAATTCAGTAGAAACACACTTACAAAAAGATTAATTCGCAGGAGATTTTCTTGGCACTAAAGTTATCCTTGAAAATAGGCATGGCCCGGGCCGGTCTAGGCCTGACCGGGCTTTTTTGGGATTCTTGAGGCCCGGAACCGGCCCGGGTAGCTACCGGGCCCAAGTTGAGGCCGGTTCAGGTTGTGCCCTAGCCGGTTCGGGCCGGGTTGGCCCGGTTACCTTTTTTTCTAATTACTTCCTACCCCCCACATCCCAAACCTGTCCAAAATACTCAGCTCAACTCATTTACCTTTTTCAAATTTTGAAAAACAAAAAAAAAATGGCTCGAATCGGGCCGATTCACTTTTTTGAGACCCGGAGCCTGTCCCGAAACAGTACCGGGCCGGGTGGCCCGAATTGGGCACAGACCCGGGTACCAGGCCGAAACAGTACCGGGCCGGGCCGGTTGACCCGGCCCGAGTCCATCCCTACTTGAATAGCTTAGGAACAAATAATGTGAAGAAAGAAGCTCTGGGAAGTTGGCTCTAGGGTTTATTTATAGTGACATATCCAAATTAGGCCAAATTTGGGCCAAATGTATCTAGAGGCCAACTTAATAAATCAATCTAAAGGCCTTCCAAATAATGAGAGTAATTGAAATTTTCCATTTCAATTTCTTGGGACATGACATTCACAACCCCACCCCTAGTTCTTTCGAGTCTGTAACACGTGTGCCTTGTTTATCAAACCTTATACTCTTTATGATTTTGAAATATAAACCCTTGTGTTGTTCCTTATTTACTTATGTATTCACATTTTTGTGATCGAGTAACTCATATGATGATATGTTATATTTATTGTGGAAGCCGATTTGATTATGAATTTTTGAGTTAAAGTAATGTTATTATGTGTCGTGCGGAAGCCAATGTTTGATTTGTACTCTGCTTTATGATTAATATCTGATACTCTAATGTTTTGTGTTATTCCATTTCCTATGTTATTATGATTAAGTTGTGGTGCATTTTTCAAAATTCCAAAGGAGAATTATCAAATAAGCCATCGAACATACATAAAAAGTGAAAATAAGTCTTTTTATAGGAGGTTCTGTCCGGCCGCCGTCAATTGGGGCGGTTTTCAGTAGAATTTTTTGATGAATTTTTTTTGAGCATCTTCTTCATTAAGTCTAGTTTATCCATATCAAGTTTCAGCTAAAACTTCAACTGAGACGGCAGTCAAATGATTTTCTAAAATATAATGTGTTGTTTACCTGCGCAGTTATCTTCAAAAATTCATTTGAGTGACTTCCCGATTGAATATTTAGCTGAAATTTGGTATGAATAAATTAGACTTAATGAATAAGATGCTCAAAACATGTCATCAAAAAATTCCACCGGAACCGCCCCAAATGGCGACGGCCGGACAGAGCCTCCTATAAAAAGGCTTATTTGCACTTTTTATGTAAGTTCGAGGGCTTATTTGATAGTTTTCCCAAATTCTAATCAATTAAGGTGTGTTATTAACTTATTATGATTAAATTGTTTATACGAATGATGATTAACGATGAAGAATGAGAATTCACGTTGGATGAAAAAGAATGTTAATTAATTAAATTAATTAAAATAGCCAAAGAAAACAAAAATAAGATGGGACATGTAAACTTTACAGAGCAGAGCAAAAGAACGGTGCGGAAGATGAAGATTTGATAGAATGAAGAAGAATGAATAATCGTACTGAGTAGGTTAAATTTACAGTATTTATACAAAAAGGTTGTAATGTAAAAATAAGATGGGCTGGTATAAAAGGCCCAATAAAATAATAAAAAACAGTCCAGTCCAGTCCAGATGATTATTCTTTAGACGCCCCCTCAAGATGAGCGTGGATATCTAACATGTTCATCTTGTTTACAAACTGACTGAAGAGTGGATTCCCAAGTGGCTTTGTGTAGATATCTGCAAGTTGACAATTATTAGGAATGTGTTTAAGATTAATAAGTCCAGAATTAATTTTTTCTCTTATTAAATGGCAATCTAATTCAATGTGTTTAGTTCTTTGATGTTGAATACGATTGTGTGCAAGATAGTAAGTGGATTTATTATCTGTATAAAGAGTAAAAGGTAAAGAAACTGGAATTTGTAAATCCTGCAGAATGTAAGTAAGCCATTGGGCTTCACAAACTGTGTTTGCAGCAGCTCTATATTCTGCTTCAGTAGAAGATCTACTGACAACAGATTGTTTCTTGGATTTCCAAGAAATCAGTGAATCACCAAGATAAAAACAATAACCTGATATACTTCTTCTAGTATCAATACATGAACCCCAATCAGAGTCAGTATAAGCTTGAATATTAAAAGTAGATTTAGAAGAGTAAAACAGACCTTTTCCTAGAGAGCTTTTAAGATATCTTAACACCCTATGTGCAGCATTCATATGAATATTAGTAGGACAAGATAGAAATTGACTAAGAGTTTGTACAGAAAAAGCAATGTCAGGCCTAGTAACAGTAAGATAAAGTAATCTGCCTATTAAAGTTCTATAGGATTTAGGATCAGTTAAAGGAGTACCATCATTCTTTGAAAGTTTTAGTTTAGAATCCATAGGAGTAGAAAAAGGTTTTGAATTAAGATATCCAAAATCAGAAAGAATATCAAGGGTGTATTTTCTTTGATTTAAAACCAGTCCATTTTCAGATCTGGCAATTTCTATTCCTAGTATATATTTTAGCTTACCAAGATCTTTAATGGTGAATTTGTTATGTAAATAGGATTTGACAGAATTGATCTCATTTATATCATTACCTGCAAGAATAAGGTCATCAACATATAATAATATCACAGTGAAGGAAGTATTAGCAGCTTTAGTAAACAGGGAAAATCAGCTTGAGACTGTTTATAACCAATAGATTTCAAAGATTCAGAAAGTTTAAAATACCATCGCCTAGAGGCTTGTTTTAAACCATATAAACTTTTAAGAAGTTTACAAACTCTATGATCATTTTTATCTAAATAACCAGGAGGAGGGTGCATATAGATGTTTTCATTTAAATCTCCATGTAAAAAAGCATTATTAACATCTAATTGATGTAAATACCAATTTTTTGAACTAGCAACAGCTAAAAGTATTCTAACAGTGGTTAATTTGACCACAGGAGAAAAAGTATCAAAATAATCAAGACCCTCTTCTTGAGTATAACCTTTAGCCACTAATCTGGCTTTATACCTGTCAAGGGAACCATCAGACTTAAGTTTTGTTTTAAAGACCCATTTACATCCAATAATATGTTGATTTTTAGGGAGGTCAACAAGAATCCAAGTATTATTATTTTCAAGAGCTTTTATCTCATTATTCATTGCAGTTTTCCATTCAGCAAATTTGACAGCTTGTTTATAAGTTTTTGGTTCAACAAGTTTTGAAAGAGATGCAGTAAAACAATGATGAGAAGAACTTAATTTGTTGTTAGAAACATAATTTTGTATAGGATATCTTACAAAATGACATGAAGGTTCAGAAACATTAGGAATGATAGAAGTAGGTAAGTTATATTCAAAATCTTTTAAATAAATAGGAACAGATCTTACTCTGGTAGATTTCCTTGGAGAACTGTTTGCAGCATCTGTGTGATCAGTGTGAATATTACCTGTCTCAATGTTACTGGAAGACTCATTATTAGCAGAATCAGTATTGCTAGATTGAAAAAGATGTACCTCATTATCAATTTCATTGTCCAGGTAACTTTGAGGATATGTTTGAGAAATAGTATTTAGGTAATCAGTAACAGATTTATTATTTTGAAGATTTGTGAGGTTAAAATCAGTTTCAGTTTCATAATTTTTATTTCTGAAAGGGAAAATCAACTCATAGAACTTTACATTCCTAGAAATGAAAGTTTGATGAGTGTTTAAATCATATAATTTGTATCCTTTAGATCCTAAAGAATAACCAATGAAAACACATTTATGTGCTCTAGATTCAAATTTTGTTCTGTTAGAACAAATAGTGGAAGCAAAAGCCAAGCATCCAAAGATCTTTAAATGAGTATATTCAGGAGGATGGTTATATAATAGTTCATAAGGAGATTTATTTTGAAGAACAGAAGTAGGCAGTCTGTTAATAATATGAACAGCAGTAAGTATACAATCAGACCAAAAGGATATAGGTAAACAAGATTGAAATAAAAGAGCTCTAGCAATT